AGGCACTGAGCAGAGAGGGAAAGAACTCAGGCCCGAGGCTGCAGCGAGCTTTAACAAAGGCAACAAACCCTTCTCTGGAGGTTTCGCTTCCATTTTCAAAAAGGTGCGGCGGGAGCAGCGGTGGGGGGGACGTCCCACTATCAAAGAACCCGCCTTTTTGATCGTCTTTTGATCTCCTCTGTTTAATTGGAGCTCCTGGGACATGTGGGTTTCTTTCAGGAAGAAGCAGGGAGAGGGGGAAAGGTCGGTGGGCAACCCCCCCCCAGCCGCCACACGTAAAACCACAGTTCTCCCCGATTCAAAGCCCACCTCCCACTTGGAGAAACACAGCTGTTTCTAAATTGTCTTGACCTCTTGTTGCAAATCCCAGCAAATAAATTAAGGCCGTCCAGCCTCCCACCGTAACCCGGTTAAACCAGATTTAAGCTGATTGAGAGCTGATTTTGCTGACCCGGCGGAAGCGGGGGGGGGGGGGAGACCCTGGTGTGCACACAAGCGTCCATCTTGTCGCCAGCTAGCTGTGGGCAGCTCCAGGCTGCCACAGAAAGCTTGGGAAGAGGGGAGGCATTTTGCTGGGGGGGGGGTGTGTGTGCCCGCAGCACAGGGTGGGAGCTTCTAGCAGTGGCCAGTGATTATGTGCGCTTTCCTGCACCCCATGGAATGGGCCAGGGCCGGCATTACGGGTAGGCTTAGGTGGGCACTCGCTGATTAACGCAAGCTGCCGGTGGGCCTCATCTCTCAGCCTTAATCCAGGCTCACTGCGTAATCTTGACCAAGTCATGATAGCTTTTTCTAACCTCTCTCTCAGGGTTCTCTCAGAGCCAGTTTGATGTAATGGTTAGGAGCGCGGACTCTGATCTGGGAGAACCGGGTTTGATTTCCCCATTCCTCCCCATGCAGCTGCTGGTGTATCCTTGGGTCAGTTACAAGTTCTCTCAGAGCTGTTCTCCCAAGGGCAGTCCTCGAAAGAGCTCTCTCAGCCCCACCAACCTCACAGGGTGTCTGTTGTGTGGAGGGGAAGGGAAAGGAGATGGTAGGCCGCTCTGAGACTCCTTCGGGTAGTGAAGGGCGGGGTATAGATAATCTCTTCTTCTTCTGAGATCTTTGTTTACTTCATTTGTACCCTCCCTTTCTTCCCACTAGGGACTCAAAGTGGGAAAGGAGGCCCCGTTATACTCTCTTGCCCAGGGCCTACACAAACCTGGAACTGGCCCAGGAAGGAGGCCTCAATAAAACCCATACTGAAACAGCTAGATCTGAGTTCAGGAACACCTTAGAGACCAACACAATTTTCATGGTCTGAGCTTTCGAGTGTCCGAGCTCCCTTCCTCAGACACAAGAAGGAATGGCGATACCTGGGCCAGAACCATTCAGAAGAAGAAGAGGAAGAGGAGGAAGAGGAGGAGGAAGAAGAAGAAGAGGAGGAGAAGGAGGAGGAGATTGGATTTATACCCCACCCTTCACTACCCAAAGGAGTCTCAGAGCAGCTTACAGTCCCAAGATGATGGGAGCTGTCTGCCAAAGGGGAGCTTTGACTCTCCCAGTTTATAGCCCCCCAAATTTTGTTAGTCTCTAAGTTGTTCCTGCACTAGAATCTAGCTGTTCTGGGGAAGAAGGTGGAGAAGGAGATTGGGTTTATACCCCATTCTTCACTACCCAAAGGAGTCTCAGAGAAGTTTACACTCAACTTTCCCTTCCCCTCCCCACAACAGACACCCTGTGAGGTAGGTGGGGCTGAGAGAACTCTTTTGAGGACTGCTCTTGAGAGAATAGCTCTGAGAGAACTTGTGATTGACCCAAGGTCACACCAGCAGCTGCATGTGGAGGAGTGGGGAATCAAACCCGGTTCTCCCAGATTAGAGTCCGCGCTCCTAACCACACTACCCCAAACTGGCTCTTTATATCCCAGTCAGAAGGCGGGAGTAAGGGGTGTTGCAAAGAATGCTTGTAAATGATGCAGAGGTATGTTGCATATTGTAATCAGCTTTTCCTCCCTGCTTTGGTCAAGCTGATTACAATATGCAGGGTAGAAAATTCCCATCCTACAATGTCATATATAATAGGGAAAACGTAATAAAAATCTTATAATAACAACATGCAGGGTATCTTTTCATCCTTTACGAGCATTCTTTACAACACCCCTTTCACCTTCTGAATGAGACATAAAGACTCAGAAGTCTCCATTCGTACTCATGTCTGACAAAGGGAGTTTGACTCTCATACGCTTATACCCTGCGACTGTTCTTGGTCTCTAAGGTGGTACTGAATTCGAATCCAGCTCTTCTACTGCAGACCAACATGGCTAGCTTCCCGAAATGAAGTGAAACAGCTCCCAAGCAGGGACCAGAGTGAATTTCAAAAGAGGTGCAGTGGTTGGATTCAAACAGTCTCCACCTTGTGAGAAATGGCCCCTTCCGTCTATTTGCAAATCAGTTGCTCTGGCTTCATGTTAAATTTACAATTCTCTCTCTCTCTCTTTCTCTCTCATTATTTTTGCACCTATGGCATATAAACGGCCTGTAATCGGAAAGATGCGCATACGGCTTACAGGCAACAAAATACGAGAATCGCCATCAACAAAGCTGGAGAACCGTTGACGGCAGATATAAAAAGCCTCCGAAATCCACGTAAATTTTCAATCTGGTATTAGAACAAATCGGGTTATTGTGACAATCCGCTTGAATCAGACACACTTCCGTTTTTATGAATGGGAGGCCAGCCTTCTCTACAGTGAGACCAGAGCCAGACTTGCATTACAATCCTACCAAATGCTGAAGCTGACGTACAGAAGAGGCAAAAAGGAATCTCGTGACACCGTAAAGGCTAACAAATTGCACATGGCAGAACCTTCCGTGGACTAGAACCCACTTCATCAGATGCATGAAGTGTGTTTTCATCACACAGACATATATCCACAAACACAAGCATAAAGAAAAAAAACTGCAGACAGCTGACCCTCAGAGCAATAAAGTCCAGCCAATTAACAATGCTGACAGATTTTCAAGCAAAGGAGCCTGAAAAGCAAGCATCCCTGCTCTGAAAAATCCTCATTCCGAGTTAAATACACCCCCCCCTTCTTAATCTGGGCCTGATTTGAATCTGAGCTCCCCTCTCTCTGCAACACTTTTGGGGGAGGGTGCTGGGGGGGAACTGACCAGCAGTGAGGAACAGACAGTAGAGAAGAGACCCCCAACAGGATTCAGTTCCTGCCAAATAAGAATTCTCAGTCTATTTGCTTCCTACCAGGGACAACTAGAATAGGGGTTTTCTGAGCCTCAAAAATGGTATTAGAAAATGGGGGGGGGGGAATACAATTGCCATTTGCCCTAGCAGGAAATACCACTGAAGAGGACTGCGAACTCTATCTCGCAGCAGAGATAGGCTCCATTGGGACCTAACCTTTACTGAATGAGTATTTCTCCAATTTTAGTTACTCCCCCCAAAACCTTTTGCAAAAATAAAAGTTGTAGTTTGAAAAACAACTGGCAAGATTGTAGAGAGAGGGAGCAGACACATCTGTATTTTTTTAACCTTTCCCTTCAACCCTAGAAGCTCACAGATACATGATCTTGAATGGCAGAAAAATTCTAGATATCCTATTTGGAGCAAAGGGCTAAAAGGACTGATACACATTTAAGGTAAAGGTTCCCTTGCTTGAAAGCCAGTCGAGTCCGACTCTAGGGCTGCGGTGCTTATCTCCGTTTCAAAGCCGAAGAGCCAGCGCTGTCCGAAGACGTTCTCATGGTCATGTGGCCGGCATGACTAAACACCAAGGTGCACGGAATGCTGTTACCTTCCCACCGAAGTGGTACCTGTTTATCTACTTGCAATTTCTTGCTTTTGAACTGCTAGGTTGGCAGGAGCTGGAACTAGAGATGGGAGCTCACTCCATCATGCGGCACTTGGGTCTCGAACTGCTGAACTACTGACCTTCCAAGCAATGGGCACTCAAGGAAGTCCTTCCTCACCCAAAGAGTAATTAACACATGGAATTCACTGCTGCAGGAAGCGGTGGCAGCTATAAGCACAGACAGCTTTAAGAGGGAATTGGATCAACATATGGAGCAATGGTCCATTAGTGGCTTTTAGCCACAAGATATAGCCCCACTGCTGGACCTCCTGATGGCACCTGGGTTTTGGCCACTGAGTGACACAGAGTGTTGGACTGGACAGGCCATTGGCCTGATCCAACATTGGCTTCTCTTATGTTCTTATGTCTGGGGGCAGTGATGCTCTGTATTCTTGGTGCTTGGGGGGCAACAGTGGGAGGGTTTCTGGAGTTCTGGCCCTGCTGGTGGACCTCCTGATGGCACCTGGGTTTTGGCCACTGAGTGACACAGAGTGTCGGACTGGATGGGCCAGTGGCCTGATCCAACATTGGCTTCCCTTATGTTCTTACGAGCAAAATATGAAAAGATTTGTCAATCATTTGGGGACCACAAGTGTAGATTCTGTCAAAACATACTTTGCCTGCACACCTGCCCTGTAAAACCATAGAAGGAATGATATTTAGCCTAGCAAACAGAAACGCCCCACAAAACCATGGGACTGTATGGACACATGATTAACCCACCACATCTTCACAAATGTTCTCCAGCTTTCTTTCCTAGTATGCAAACGAATTGCTCACAAAAACAAAGAAACAAACAAAACAACAAGGGTTTTCCAGGTCGAGTCAGAGTTGGAGAGGAGCAGAAAGGCATTTTCATCCATTACCACAAAGAGACAGGGACTTGTCATACTTTTACAGAAAAGGGAAGTGGAAGAGAGGCATTTGTAACACTAACAAACATTCCGCCCTGTACAGATTTCACAACGAATTTTAAGCCTCAGTTTACGAACACTCCCGCAGTCCGCTGCTTTGTGTGTTTGTAAAGAACATTCGTTTTTTCCCATCTTAGCTCAGCCAAGGACCTCAACAACCCTCACCAGAAGCGTCTGAAAGAACCTGGCGGCAACGCCAACCCTTCAAAAAGGCCGCAACAAGATTTGGCACTTACTTCATTGGCTTAAACAAGGCTTGTCCGTAGTTTTGGAAGGTCATGATCAGCTTGAGTTGGGTGCCTCCCGACTTCATTGCTTGAGAAAAAGAGAGAGAAAAAGAGGAAATTAATAACTATCCACACCATATGGTTTGACCGACACCTCGAAACGTTTTCTTTATATTGTGAAATGTCACAGCTATCCATCTGTAGAGGAAAAGCAGACATTTATACTGCCGTCAGCATTAAAACGCAGCGATGTCGGGTCTTAATGTTCTGTTACTTCACGCACGGCTTCCCTCTACAGTTTGGGGGGGGGGGCTCGTTCAGCGGAATTTATTATACCTTAACCCACTGGTAGATTTTCAGCAGTTAGTTATGGGAAACTGGGTCCTGTCCTACCTCACAGGGGTGGCCTGCAGAGTGTAGTTCCACAGGCTAAGGCTGCACCAAGGTGGGGTCTCTAAGCCCACCCCCCAGGAAAAATCCCAGGTGCCAGGTCACCATGGGGCCTAGAAATTTCTCATGGCACCTACTATTTTCACAATGATTTTATTATGAGGTTTTACCCCATATTTATTTAGATACCAAAATGCTTTTGTCGTATTGTAGCTTAGGAGTAGGTTTGTTGGTAGCAATAATGAGAAAATACAGTCGCATGGACACACAAAGCTGCCTTGTACTGAATCAGATCATTGGTCTATGCAAGTATTGTCTGCTCAGACTGGCAGCAGCTCTCTAAGGTCTCAGGCAGAGGTCCTTCCCATTTCAGTTGAGGTCTTTCACATCACCTGTTCCCTGGTCCTTTTTTAGCTGGAGATTGAAGCTGGGACCTTCTGCATGCCGAGCAGATGCTCTACCACTGACTGAGCCATGGCGTTCCCCTAAATAAAGCTGCCTTAACCTGAGCCAGATCCCTGGTCCATACAGGTCAGTCTTGTTTCCACTGACTGGCAGGAGATCTCCAGGGTCTCATGTCTTTCCCATCACCTGCTACTTGACCCTTTTAAGCAGAGATGCCGGGGATTAAACCTGGGACCTTCTGCAAGCCAAGCAGAGGCTCTACCGCTGAGCCACAGCATCTCTTTACAGCTCTCCAGGGTCTCAGGCAGAGGTCTTTCCCATCACCTACTGCCTGGTCCCTTTAACTAGAGATGCTGGGGATTGAACCTGGGATCTTCTGCATGCCAAGCAGAGGTTTTACCGCTGAGTCACAGCCCCTCTTTACAGCTCTCCAGGGTCTCAGGCAGAGGTCTTTCCCATCACCTACTGCCTGGTCCCTTTAACTGGAGATGCTGGGGATTGAACCTGGACCCTCTGCATGCCAAGATGAGGTTCTACCGCTGAGTCACAGCCCCTCTTTACAGCTCTCCA